TAGTTCAATCAACTAACAGAGAGCTGGGTGCATGAAATCAGAAGACCCTGCAGCTCTGCAGCACTGGGGCTGGACACTGGCCAACCTATCCTAATGCTCTCTCTTCTGGGAGCTTGAACCCAATTTTTGGATTTTCCTATGGCATAGATACATTCAAAACTATGTGGCAGAAACAGACCAGCTGCAATGACAAGAACCCCACCCCAACATCCTGGGCCTATTCATTTTGGGGTATCCAGACCTGAAGAATAAACACACGCATTGCTATGCTCGTACCAAACGCACTGCACTAGATCATCCTCTCTCTCACACACACACACGCACGCAAAAACAAAATGAAACTAAATTCACATTTCGGTTGTGGCCATCCTCACTTCTGGCCCCGGAGAGGCACAGGGGTTGAGCAGTTTAATTAGTGGAGTTGGTTTGTGACTTAGTGGGTTTAAATTACCACTGTTCACAGGATACTCAACCAATGGCGATGTGAAGTCATCGCCTCTTCAGGACCAGGAGAGAAGGGGGCACGGGGATATGGTAAACAGAATTCCACCTGTTGGGAGTCAACACAGTGCCCGCCAGACTGTGCCAAAATGTCTGCGATTCCACATCAGACCAAGTCAGGTGCCCGGAGGAGGGACACAGACTCTTCTGAACACTGGGATTCATGGAGAAATGATGGCATCTGGCTGCCTCTTAAACCAAAAGGAAAAAGACCTTTGAAGGCATAATTGGGCAAAACCCCGGCCCCTGCCAGTTCTGCAACTTCAATAAGGACACTGCAAACTGTCTCAGTCTCCCGCAGCACATAGGGGCAATCCATCCGTGATGCAGAGAACTGCAGAGTACAGATAAAAACTGCCCTCACTGAGTAGAGAGGTCACTGAGTGGTCTCATCAAGGCAAATTTAACCAAAGGAAAAGGACCAGAATGCATCGCGCTCACCTGGTGTTAGCCTCACTTAACAGAGCTATCAAAGCCTGGGATAGATCAGAAAGCTACGCAACAATTCTGGTTTGCTGCATGCTTTTTAGCAGGGGGAGCTGGGAGCATTTATTAAACAAGAAAATTAATTCTTAAATGGACTGATTCTCACAATCTGGCCCTCAGGGCCATCTAATTGGGGTGAGAGGAGTAAGTGAACAAGTAGGGGAGGGGGCGCTCAAAGAAACCATTCCAAGACCCATTCCCAAATTTTCTCAGTCAAAAGGGGCGAGTGGGAGATGGGGCAGCACAGGAATGTTTATAACTACTTGGAGAAAGTGAATTAGTCTCAATGAATCTCACTCAACCCAGAACATTGTAAACCAACCCCACACTGATGCAACACAGACTGCAGTACATTCTTAAACAAGCTTGGTCAGTGCATCCAGAGGAGCAAGGGAGGAGGAAGGATTCTGGGTCAGGCTGTGGACCTCGGGTCTAGTTCCGTCCCAACCCACATCTAAGCTTCAGAACCTCCCCTCTTCCACAAGCAGGGCATCACAAAACTGCTCTGCTCAGGAGCTCTCATAAGTGGGTTACAGTTGTTCGGTAACACCATCCTTTTTTTAAGTTTTCCTAAGGTCCACCCCTTGTCAACCAAAAGTACTTTTGAATTAATTTGAATCCATCGATTTTGGAACCAGGACTGGACTGGCAATTCAAAAGTCTGCAAGAGCTGCCAGAACAAGCGGATCAGTCAGTTTTCCTGAAATGAAAGAACAGACGAGCATGCAGGCGAATATGGTGCCAGGGTGGATGTTGAGCGCATCTCAAAACGGGGTCTCCTGAGCGGCAAAGCTAAAATAGGGATGCCTGCACCCCTACTCCTCTCTTCCTCTCTCCCCGACTCACCCTTCCCCAGAAATTACTTTCAGCAGCTTCCCCTATTCCAGAAAGACACTATTTCCCAGTAATCATGGTGTCCACCCCCCACCCTGCCAGTTAACACAAGGGGCTCCCAAATGAACACTACACACAACCAACGCTACAGAAAACTCTACAAAAGCAAAAGCTTCTTCCACGTTTGTAACTTCCCATTTTAAAACACCCAGATTGCAACAGCATTTAACTTAAATAATGCAGCATCTGCCCCACCCCGCTTCCCGAATTGAAAATACTTCAACAGTAAAGGCGATATAAATGCATCTGAATTTATACGCACTTTGCTAGTGCATATGAACTCTTAATAGACACCATCCCCAAAAACACATCCTTTCCTCTCCATTCTACCAGCATATATAGCGCAACACCCTCTGCAAAACAAAACAAAAAAATCAACTCAAGAATCATCGCATGAGCCAGCGAGGGAAAAGAAAAAAAAAAACACAAAATCAGCTGAGATTCTGATGAGATTCATCATCAAGTAAATTTCTAATCAATTTCCTGTCTTTCGTTTCCGCTTGCAGTTACTTCGACAGTGAAGTCCGGCAGAGCTTGTGTCTAGCGCCGCTCCTTGCCGCTTCAAGTTTGCAGTTTTTAAATTCATTAATATATATTTATCTATATATATATTTATAGGTTTGGATTTTTTTTTAAAGTTTTTCTTTCCTCCTTTCTCTCCGTTGTCTTTACTTTGGCGAGCGCGGAGGGATGTTCTGCTCCTTGCCGATGCGCCGGGGGGCGCCCTGAGGCGAGTGCCGGCGGGCCAGAGGCGGGCGGCGCTGCTGTTCGCGCAGTTTGTGGCCTGCGTTGCCACCCGCCCGGGGAGGTCCATTGTTACGGTAGGGCCCCAGGGAATCTCGGTGCGGGCGCCCTTCCGTGGTTTTGCCCTCCGCGGGCTTTTCCGAGGCGGAGGCCTGCCTGTCAGCGTTGGCATTGGTGGTAGCAGTGGGATCGTCGGCCTTGTTGACTCGCAGCTCTCTCAGGGGCTGTGCCGGCACAGGGGGAGGGGGGTCCTTGGGGGGTCTTTGACACACTTCAGCATAGCTCAGCTTTCGGGGCTCCTGGGAAAACATGTCAAAGGGTTTCTGGTCAGACCTTTCTTATCTCTCTGCATCGGATACTTAGGACAATAAAGTAGAGCTATTAACAGATGAACATCACAGACTCTTCATAGCTTGGCTCCTGTTAAAGCCCAGTCCACCCCCCATATCCATGCTCTATGTTGTACTGAGCAGTACAAGCTAGACGATCACTCCCCAGATCAGATGGAAGTCAATCTGCAATTTCAAACACTACGTTTAAAACATTAAGTTGTAGCTTTTAATCCTGTACAAAGTACAGTATAGTGCCCATCTCTTTACTTTAGATGACAAAATCCACTTTTTTAAGACTTAACACTCTCATTCAAGAACTTCAGACTTGGGTTTAGTGGGTGAGCAACCTGAGATACTGAATTGGCTTTAACGAGTTTGACCAGAGACACTGAGCAAGACAAGGAGCTGCTGCAGGGGGATTCCATGCTTAGGACATTTCTCTCCTGCTGAAGGGGAGTTTTCAGTGTTTTAATTTGGGCCGGCGTGTCAGAAGGTTTAGCTAAGAACTCGAATGAGAGCCAGGTGTATTTAGCCGGGTCCTCACCGATATCGATGCAGTGGCAGTGGCTGGGGCGGGACTGGCGGCGAGGGGTCCGGCGGCGGCTCGTGGGGGCTTCGTGGCTGGGATGGACTGCGGCACCGGAGAGGGCAGAGGGGCAGGCGCGGGGGTCTCTTTCAGGGCCGGAGTTTCGGTCTTCTCCATCTTCACCTCTTGCTGAACGGCACTGCAGAGATCATGAAAATGCCAAAGGAGTCACAGACGGGAGGAGCCGCCAATGGGCCTTACCTTGGCTTGGCAGCTAAATAACCCCTTGGTTTCATCCATGCACATCTGGAGAGCCAACTCCAAGCTGGGAAAGACATCCCACAACTCTGCACAAGACAAATTTCCTCCTCCTTCCAGTCTAAAATGTTAAACTTTCTATTCCTTCACTTGCGATGCTGTGCCTGCTTCACTGTTGATCTCGAAGCAAAGACCTGCACCTTGGACTGTGACGAAGCACAAAGCTTGCAAGAATCAGTACCACCCACTCCTCTCTCAGAACTGAGTTAAACCCAGGTCACACAAGTAGACAGATCTCAATATCTTTCACAGCTTTGAACAGGTGGGCCTCTCTGCCCTCAAATCTTTTCAAATGATCAAAACCATCACTGTGAGTGAGTCATATGACCAAGGAATGTCACATGATTATCAATTTAACCCCTTGTGATGGCTGTCTGGACCAATACACAGATCTGAAAGTTTGTGGAAGGAACACAGAATATCGACATCATTGGTGTTTTACGAAAGCAAGCAAAGCATAGATTTTCTTTCCAGATTTTTTAGAGAAGCCAAAAGGGTAGCCAGATGATTAGACCTGGCTGTACCCAGAGCCTGAGCCAGGGCTTACCTGGGGGTTTGGGGCTCACTGGAAGGCAGGGTGCAGCTGGCAGGTTTGCACGCAGGCTGAGTGGCGCTGGTTACCAATGCTGCCTCCTCCTGGACAGACACAGAACTGGCAGGGGAATCTTTGCTGACATCCTGTTGCTAAGGGAGCAGAAACACAACAACAAAATAAAATCAGCATACTCCAAAGACTACAACAAGATAGGCAAATGAAAACCAAAGCTCACGATTTAGAGGGAAAGCCCGGATTCCTAAGTCCCTTCAAGGATACAAGAAACACACATGAAAAACAAGTCTTTGCAGATAAGGGTTATCTAAATAAATGCACTACAAACTAACACAGAATTAAAACCTGAGCAACAAGAGCAATTAGACAATATAAATGGACCTGCTGCACATTCAGCTACATAACATATGGCTACTAACCCCAGTGTATCGCTCACCTTATCCCTATTAAGCCCTCGGACCACGTCGGACATCCTGTTCTCCAGCAGCGGCTCGCCCTGCGTGCTCACCACGCAGCCTGGCAGCGGGGGGAAGTTGTTGGCAGCCAGGTCAAACTTGGGGGTGGGGACCTTCTCCATGGAGGTGGGCGGCCTCTGAGAACACAAGGAGGCGAAGAAGCCACCGTGAACACTCCCCTGTAGCAACAGAGCGAAGGTCCTTTGTGGGGGGGGGGGCTGTATCGGGCGGTTCTTGACGAGTGCCCATCATTGGGAACGGCACCGATGCAATGCAAGAACTCCACCTGTCACAGTGGGCCCGCTAATACCCGTGACTCTGCAAGAGCCCAACCCCAGGCCCAGCCGACGACCTCCCCTGACCAGCCATTCAGAAAGAGCCTTCTGGTCTTTTTAAGACTTTGCAGAACAAACGTGCTCCTCAAATATTTTTGTTCTTGAAGCCAGTCTCTCTTTGCCTGCTTTCTGCCAGGAAACTCACCATGGTGCGGTCGTCCTCTCTCCTCCGCCTTGTCCCTCTGTAAGTGCTTCTCCTGCAATGCAGCAGTCAGGGGCACATTAGGAGGGTCTTTTCAAGATCACAAAACGGATAAAATATAAAAATGCCCCTTATACCAATATCTCCTGATTAATACAGATAGGGGCCAGACTGAACACTAGGCTTGCTCTTGATTTATCAAAGGCTATTCTGATCTTAAAAGCTGAAAAACCAGGACTAAAAGCATCAGAAAACTGCAGCACTGTAGGTGCCACCAAACTGGAATTCAAAAAAAGAGACATTTCAGACCCTCAGATCTCATAATCTTGGTGCTCACTGGGCCAGGCCACGCAATGGGGCTCACAGCTCTGAGGAGGAGGAGAAGGAGAAGAAGAAGGGGGAGAAAAGAAACATGAGGTAACAAAAGAGGAAAAAGAGAAGGAACGAGGGAAACAAAAGACACAAGGCGAAGACACCCCAAAGCTGTTCACCCCAAAGCCCTGCATCCCTCTATGCGCAAGAGTGTCTCATCATCGGGTCTGACCTTCCTGTGACCCCGACAGCACACAGGGCACAGTGGAACGAACACTACAGAGATGGACTCAGCGAGGCACAAACACACCAAGGACGCGGAAGCTCCCCAGGCTCTTCTTCCTCAAATTCAGGAGCAACTCGGAAGTTGCTTCTGGTTTAGAGATGCATACATCTGGTCCAGCTCCCTCTTGGGAAGTTTGCTACAAACTCCTACCGCACTTGGTGGAAAGAAGCACTCCCCCTTACCGCCCCCCAGCCCTCATCGGGTCTCGGTCCCAAATGCATGCCCTCTTGAATTCTGTGTGCGGCCGAGAGTGCCTGCTGCTGGGCCTCTCCCTGCTCCCCACCTGCCACGGCCCACCATGCCGGCATCCCCGTTCTGCTCCGTGGACATCAAGTGGGCGTCCTTCATGGAGAAGGAAGGGCTCAGCTCAGGAGGGGCCAGCACGGTGGCCCCAGTCCGGGGGGGCTGGGGGCTGCGGGGCCCAGAGAGCCCATCTACCAGGGGCACAGGCCCCACTATGGGGGGAGATCCATCCGAGGCCCTTGGATGCGGCTTCACAGGGTTCCTGCGGGAGGGAGGAGAGCAGGGAGGGGGGGGAGATGAAACAAGTTAAAAATGCAAACAGGCTAATCGATGTCTCTTACTGGATGAGCAGCCCACACAAGAGAAGAAAACCTCACGCCTAAGCCAGCTCTTTGATTAAAGATACAGCTTTAGATCTCAACCTGCTAAGACTGGGAGACTGCTGTTTCGAGTTAGAGGGTTCTGCCCTGCGCGAACCACACCAAGATACAGGGAGGGAAGAGTAAAAACAATGTAGAATAAAAAGAATCTTACAAAGTCAATTACATCTTGTATTTTTAAAGCATTATTTGCAATCAAACGCTTTAGCCATTTGATTTCGGACTTCACGTGGTGAAATCGGGGTCGCTGGCCCCCAGGCCCAAGGGAGATGGAACACTCCAGATCTTCCTAGTCACGAGTCATGTTCCGCAAGTCTTCAGTTTGTCTGTCCCACAGGGAAGCACTGAGGACGTGTGCACAGCCTCTGCAGCGCAGAGCCCTCATGTCTTCTCACCTGCCACCATGCAAGTTCAGTCTAGACGGCGGCGTTCCCACTTTGCATCTTGATCGGCAGATCTCATACACCAAACGAGGCTGGGCCTGGTCAGTACTGGGATCGGAGCCTTCACAACCGTGCTGCTGTAAGAGTTGTCAGTAGACCAGCAGGGGGCACCTTTCCATCGGGACTATAATTTCCTAAACATTACTCCCTGTATGGTGAGCTTTGCGATGTACGGGGGCTACAGAACAGCTGCACTGGAATCACCAGGAACGAAAGGCAGAACACTAGTGAAATTATTCTACTGGTTCAGTTCGGAAACTCCCCCAGGTCTGCACACAGCACATTCACACCCTGCTTCAAGACTCCCTTTCCAGAGAGTCCCTACCTATCCAGGCAGTGAAGAAACAATCCGGATTGGCTTGTAAGATAAAACTCCAAGCACTTTTTTTCCGACCATGGGGACGGATCTCTGCATGTAAGATTTTTGCACTGATTTTTTTTTTTTGCTTGTAAATTCCAAAAACAACAAAGGAGCAAGGGTTTGCCTCTCAAGCACAAAGATTTAACACCCCACCCCTTCTCCAAACACAAACCAGGACTGCGCATGCTGGCAGACCGCTTACTAAGCCCGACCATGCTGGGGAGTGAGGGAGCAGAGATGAAAATGGGGGAAACACTGCAGTTTATAGGGTTGCAAGCAACGCTTCATAAATGCCTAGCCTAATGCCAAATGACACAGGCGCAGAGCACTTAAATAGAGGTAAGTGGTCTACCTTTGGGTAACTTTCAATTACTCATGAATGAATAGAACGCTCTTAGTAATCTTACATACTGGTGTTAAAAGAAGATACCAAAAACTGAACTGCAACCTGTGTCTGCAGTGTTGCCCAGCTGTGGAATAGTTTGAAGACAAAAGACACGGAATCAAGATCCTATAAGATCCTCTCTTCTGCAGGCTCTACCTTTAATAAAGTGACTGTCTTGTTTAATCAAATGTAAAAGGCCTTAAGATATATGCATCCTATAGACACATTTAAAAACTAATTAGGCTCTGGAAGTCATAATTTAGTGCTGGGCTTTGTTTGTGTGGCCACCACAAAGAATGAGACTCCCGGTTCGAGGTTCTGCGGAATGTCATAGAGACAAGGAAGGGCAGGCCGAGTGGTCTCGTCTTTACTATTCTAGGGAAGGAGGAAGAGATCCTTCTCAGTAAGAGAATAAGACCAGTGAGAGAGAGAAAGTCTCTCACGGTAAGAGAACGCTGTGCTCTCAACCTAGCAAGGCTGTCAAGCCTCAGGATAGGGTGGATCGCCAACGAGAGCAACTACTTTAAATCAGGCTGCAACACAATCCCCTGACCGAATGAGTTCCTGGCATCTTGAAAGACTGGCTGCAGCGCTGATCGGATAGACTGGTGACTGGCTGACCAGGACACTTGGCACCAGGCGGAATGAATGGATCAAACAGACTGACCATGGCATGACTATATGACCAACGGGCTGGGAAGCTACAGATGGGGAGCAACAGGGAAGCAAGCTCACCCGACAGCAAGATTAAACTGCTGAACACCGCCAATCAACACACCCACAAGCGGGATGGATGGGGGGGCTGCCCCCCCTTCCTTTTTGTTACCGTGTTCTGACATTCTGAACGTGTAAGGACCAATTGATTAAACAGACAAAGCACAGAAGAAATCATGCAAAGCCGCAGAATATTAGCAACTTAAAAGAAAAAGGGAAGGATGTAAGAAACGAAAAGGATGAGAATAGCTGACGTCGGCCCGAGAGTGAAGTTGGAGACAAAGCAGAAAAGTAGTCGGTGAGGCCACAAGTATGGTCATGTACCTGAAAGCATTTATTACATTCTTTCTTGAGTAGAGTGGGACACTGTTGGGACAGTAACAGAGAGAGAAAGAGAAGAGCTACTGTTACAGGAGAGCAAGGAGGCACCTATCATCACCTTTCACAACACGTCACAACACCTAGACCTTCTCCCAGGCAACTCCAGCTGTTCCAGCTGCAGCGTTTTACAGTCTTCACAGCGATTGGCTCCAGGAGGAGTAATCAGTCCAGGCTGGAACAAATGACTGGCAAAGCCCTGGCTGCAAAGAGTCACCGCACTCCCGGTTCTGGAAAGCCACAGGGCTTGATGTGGGGGGCGGGGTCATGCCCTCTAGTCCTCGGGGGGTTGGCGTCTTCTTGTTTTCATTCAAACCCCGTTCTCAGCAGCACAGTTGGACCAATTATTTAATTAATTGGTTAATTAAATTAACCCACACCTGAAGAAGGCTCCAAGGACCAAAACTTTGCGTTTTCTTTCTTCTCTTTTCAGCATGGAATAAACCTTTTACTTGTTCCTTTGCAGCCTACGCAGCTACCCACCTGAACTACTCCAATTACTTGATTAGCTGCACACCTATAACACTTCTATCCTGGCTCCGAGTCATTTATAGGTAACTGGAGCTTGAACGAAGCATCTCAGCAAAAAGAAATTCAAGTAGGTGGCTGCATCAGCATGAGTAGGCTGCAAAGGAACAAGTGAAGGTTTATTCCACACCGAAACACGACATTTCTGTCCTTCTCTTTTCAGCGTAGAATACATCTTGACTTGTTTCTTAGCTTCTCGGTGAAATACCGTAAGAAAAACCTATTGACGCCTCATTCCCAAAATAATTATAATGTTTAACTGACTGCACAAGCTGAAACTAAATCCAGAAAGCCCAAGGCTAGAGGCCCCTGGTTTGGAGACAGGCTATCCAACCTCCCGAATGCTAAATGACCAACCGGTTTCTGGACTTCACATAGCTGAACGGTAAAGGAAAAAGTCTGCTTACCGGTTTCTGTGGAAGGGGCGACCAATACTGGAGCTGGTCTTGTACGTTCCTGGGGAGTTGAACCCGTTCACAAACCCACTGTTGGGGAACGGAGCCTGAAAGGGGTTAAAAAAACAGATCTGAGTCTTCAACCCTCTCTTCCATCTCAACAGCGCTTAGCTGCTTCAAGCCTGCTGCAAGGAGGACGACACAGACTAGAGGACACTGACTCCGGCTGCACAGCAGGCTGATCCACTCCAGGTTTAGCCAGTTTCAGGGCTCTTGTTACTCAAGCCAAAACCAGGTGCTGGAGATTTCACACCTGCCACCTTAGTAAAGGCTTTGTATACACACACAAAGCTCTGGAGATAATAAAAACCTGAAAAAGACCAAACTGATATGCAGCAGGAGCCTTTATTGGCTTCCTGGAGTTTTCCTGGTGTTAATTTCACTTCAAACTTTTCGCTACACGATTCAAACTAAAAAAGCAAAAAAACCTTTTCTCCATTACAGCAGATAATGATTTAAGGAGTCCTATAAAACCCTGTTTATTTTTCTTCAACAACCCTTGTATGGTGGGAGAGGCATACACTTCTAATCTGCATGCAGGTAAGGGTTAAAGCAACTTCAGTCCTTGAGGGGCAGACTCCAGCAGACTTTTCAGGTCCATTTCTAATCAACAACAGATTAACAAGAAAAACACTTCAGGAATTGCATTGTACAGTGGAATGAAAAGAGCCCAGTGCAGCCCTCAAGGAGTAGCCACTTTCAGTCAGCTGGGAGCCCCAGATGAAAGTGACTATTGCTGGACACCGGGGGGGCTGGACTGCCTCTGTATGCGTTAATCCTGACTCTGCAGTGCCGCAGGAGTCCAGCCTTCTTCCCTCAGGACAGGTGGAAGGGGGCCTCACCAGGGGGGTTTCGAAGTACGGTGTGGGAGAGGGGGACCAGGTGGGGGGCACCAGGCCGTACACAGGGTACTGCTGCTGGGGGCTGTAGACGTGCTGCATGAAGAGAGGCGAGCTGAATTGGGACTGGCTCTGGGTCTGCTGGGAGTACATGTTGGAGTCCAGGCTGCGGTAACCATTCTTTGCAAAAAACGTGTTGATGGCCTTTATCCGCGCCTGCAGGAGGCGCAAGAGGGACAGAGGGAGGGAGAGAGAGAGAAGAGCAAAGTGTTAGATAAATAAAACTGCCCTAACCACAAAAACGTAACTTGCACCTCATAATCCAGAGCATCAAACCCAGCTGCTGCCTCCTGCACTCCACCTCAATGGGCAAGAAATGTAAGAAAAATGCCTTCTGAAGGAGTGACACCTTCGTCAATCCCAGGCAAGCTGGTAGCAACTGCTGCATGTCATTTTCATCACCCTGCAACCTGGATGACGTGACATGAAACAGGCCACCGTAATTCATTTCATCCCTTAACAGAATCAGCTGGGAACTCAACACAGCCATGTGGAAGGAAACACAGAAAACACTCCTCCTGTACAAATCAACACGCCTGCTCTTTCACACTAGGGACATACTGCTATTAACGGACTATCAAGCAAAGTTAAAAAGACATGCGCTTACTTGACTGAACATTTGCACTAGAGTAGCTAAAGGCCTTGGTTTAGAAAATGCAGGTTTAACAAATGTTGCTTTATTCAAACTTCCCAGCACCACAAGATCTGGCTGCAGGTTTGTGATCATTTTAGTTAGTCGAAGATCCCAGTTCACCAGCTTTAGAGCAGGCGTTTGCATTAGTAGTAGTAGTAGTAGTAGCAGCAGCAGCAGCAGCAGCAGTAGAAGTAAGCATGCTGCCAGCCACCCCAGAAACCTCACTGGCCAGAGCACATTCTAACATTATATCCATCCATTTTCTAAATGCTTCTTCCAGTACAAGGTCACTGGCGAGCAAGAGCCTATCCCAGCAAGCAGTGGGCGCAAGGCGGGGAACACAATGGACAGGCAGCCCGTTCTACACAGAGCACCAGAAACTGGAGCACAGGAGGAAATCCACACAAACGCAGGGAGAACATACAAGTCTGTAACACCTAAAAAATCCAACCCTTTCATCCAAAACGTCAGCCTAACTGAGCATCCAACACTAAAGCCTAACGAAGCTATTAACAGTATTTCATTTACTTTGTTTTATTTTTCTCATGTGTGACTTGCAGTACACGAGTCAAGAAACACTGTAGAGCAGTGGTTCTGAACCTTGGGGGGGGGGGGGATTATGAAGAAATGGAATGACCACTGGAGGGAGACAGGCATAGGCTACATACAGGGCTAACAAAGCTGAATTAAATTAAGTACATAAGTACAAGGGGTCTTGTTGCCTGCAAAGGACAATGAAAACATAACTGAGCTTCAGGTCACGGAACCATGAAGTACCAGGATCTGGTCTTTGCATTTCAGAACAATCAAGACCTTTCCTCCCTGTTTCACTACAGCAAACCAACTGCTAGACGCTACCATTGACATCCGATTCCAAATTTGATCACAACATAACGCCAAGCTGCTTTTGGAAAAACAAAAGTGCAGGTGCACTTTCAGTATCTGAGATACCAATGGAAAGCATGACAAACTGCAAGACAATTATTATTGGACTTCACAGGAACAAGTCTATCTGCATGTTTTTCAACATTTGTTCTCGCCTGAGAAAATCTGTATTTTGTTGATCCTCCTTTGGCTTTGGCAAAAGAGATGCTATTTTCCTCAACACGTACATACTCTGTAAACAGGTTTAGCTGTCTGGTAAGCTTCTTTTACAGTTACGCTCAAGACATTCAGTAATTTTCATTCACCAAAGTTGTAAATACTGAGATTCATAATTTTTTCTAACTTAGTGTTGAGAGACAGTTTAGCGAATACATTGGGAGGCACCTGTCCCACACCACCCAGCCCCCCCCCCCAGAGAGGACAAACTGCTTTACACAAAGGATTGCAGGAGTCTGGAACAAGCAACCCACACGTTAAGCTGATACCCCTCAGATCTCATAATCTTGGCATTCATCAGGGCAGGATACACTGGGCTGCGAGGCAGGAAGATGGAGGGAGGGAGGGAGAGAAGAGTGGGTGAGAGAGGGAGCAAGAGAGGAGAGGCCAGAGAAAGCACAAAGGTGGAGAGAGAGAGAGAGAGAGAGAGAGAGAGAGAGAGAGAGAGAGAGAGAGAGAGAGGAACAGAGAGCACTCACAGCTGCAGTCACCCGTCTCCTTCGAAGCGCGATACTGATCATCATCGGGGGAGGGAGGGGCCACATCATCGGTTACAGCGCTGCCTCCCGGGGGAGCCAAATTCCCACTCCCCAGTCCCGTGCTGTCTCTCCCATTTTAAAGGACACCCCCAGTTTGCTCTGTCCCTGATCCTCCCAATTCTCCAACCCCCCCCCCAACCAATTCACTCAGTACAAGCACGCGCCACCATGTTTCTCCCAAACAAACACACGAGTCCAGGACCCTCCGCAGAAAGAAGTCATTGCGGCTCCGACTGCAATCTACTCACCATGATGGGCTTTCCCTGAAAGGTCTTCACTTCTTCCCTTAGATACTTGTAGGCCTGAACAAGAGGAGGATTACATTAGAAAGTAATTCAAATTATTTATTATATCAGCTAGTGCTGCTTTTACCACATGGCATCTGTTTTAAATTGTTTATCACCATCGCGACCTGAAGAACAGCAACTGGGTCTTGTGGTTACAGTTCTCAGATTGGCAATGCACTTTTATTAACAGCTCACAGTATACAACAAGTCAGAAAGGCAGTATGTTCTGCGTAAACGCAAGTGAAAGAAAAGATGTTTCTAGGACCTTTAGTGTGCAAACTCCCATTCTCTATCCTTCCTTGTGGCTATTTCTGAGACTTGGTAAGAAATAATCACTCTCTTGGAGAAGGAGAAAGAACACAATTCTAAGTTTTTTATTTTAAATCCTCGTTGTCTCCCCGGGTTCTCATTCCAATATCCAGGTACAGGATACTCAATCCTATCTATGCTGTTTATATTTCAATAGGGGTGTTCCTGGATTTAGCACAAAAGTTGAACTGTGTTCTAGTTCTAGTTTAAAAGTTGAATGAGAGAAGCAAATAACAGTTTATACCTAAGCCATCCAGCCTACAAACCCCGAAACAGATACCAATTGAAGCACAGCTCCATGCTTGAAAAAGGCTGGTCAAGCCAGCTGGTGCTGGAGTTGAGTATAATCCAAAACCTACCTGCTGCGCGTCTGTGTCTGACTGGAACGTGATGTACCAGTTGTTATTGTGGGCAAACTCCACGCTGATCACCTTTGGACAGTTGTCGTTCTTAAACAGGGCCTCCACCTCCTGGCAGGTGAGAGAGCGAGGAGGGAGGCGTGGGGGTGGGACGGAGGGCCGAGGGCAATGGAAATAAAGAAAGGGTGAGATCAAGGACATGCAATTGCTGAACATGGTCCCAAATTAAGATGTCATCAAAACAAATTATATGCCAAGTCAAACTAAAATCTGAAACTGTAGATCTTGAGAGAAAAAAAATACATTTACATCACAAAAGATCACACAGCTATCTGTTATGCCCTGTTATGGCCTCACACTATCACAGTGTGAGTCTGAGTCAATGATAGTCATGAAGAAGAAAGATCGATATTTATACCACAGGGCACCCAAAGGACTGTGGGAAATCTGGACTCTTCCATTATGGGGTTTTGTTGCAGGGGCCAGTGTACACAAGAGGGAGCAGCTCAGTTTAACACATGGAGTCAGCAGCAAGCACAGTTCACTGCTGTCCTCATCCTGCCTTACCTCCACTGGCGTGGTCTCTGGCACCTCCCTCAGGATGATGATGCAGCGCTTGTGGTTCGGCCTCACCTTCTCCCCCTTCTCGTCCACCTGGACCATCGGGGAGGCTGGACAGGCGGCACAGGACGACGCACACGGTCAGCAACACACAGCGACGGGGGCTGGGCTACCGCTGCCCAAGCACACAAGCCACCCTACACTGGCAACAGGCAGCACGAAAACCACACACTAACGAGCACTCTCCCTATACCCCTGCTATTCAACCAACCGAATGAATGAAATGACACTTGGTCAATTCAAAATGCAAGTTAAAAGGTTCCCAATATTGGTCCAAAGCGTGGCATTATCCGTGAGCAGTGAAAAGCGGACTCTGTGCTGGCACACTTTCCATAAAACTTCAGAACCACTGGGAATTACAACGTGCATTTACACTGTCGAGCACTGCTTCTATCAAGTTCAGAAAACATTGGGAATGTCCCAGACTAAAACTATTTCACAGAACTGTTCTGAAAAAAGAAAAAGGTTCAACACTCATCAGTCACTAGACAAGATGTAAATATTCCTTTGGGAATGTTCTTTCTTAGGCAGGATGGACACGGGTAGACAAAATACAGCGCAACACTCACATCTCAGCACGTCCAGAATGAGATCCATGTCTGTGGTCAGGATCTTGATCCCTTCCATGCTGGCGATTGTCCAGATGGGAACAAACTGGTCGCTGTCCATCTGGGACATCAGATACAGGTCTTTGGAGAGGTTCTCCCTGGGTGTGACAGAGCAGGGGGAATAAATTTGTCTGATGCTTATGTATATTAAACCTTTAGGGTCTGAATTTAAATTTAAATAGAAAATACTTCTATTGTTCTTGTCTCTCTTCCAATGGAATGTGCTATTCTCCCTGTCTACAATCACAAAAGATTATATCTTCCCTTGTTCTTGAGCACAACCTCAAAAAAACCTGAAACCTGCAAACATGTGTAAAACGTAGAGACAACAGATAGGAAATAGACCATAGTCCATGTATAATAATTATGTGCAACACTGTACTCCACAAATGTGGTGTGTGTGCAAATATTTTTGACGTTTGTGTCTTAATGTTCTATCATTCTCTAAAACTAAAAAGGAATGGGAGGGGGGGTTAAAAGCACAGCAGGCCCTGCAGCCAATCAACAGAAGCCTCTGTGACCATCAAGTCCCCCACCACACAATACTGAACCTGCAGGCCAGCAGCTCAGTTTCTGCCACCAGACTAGAAAAGGCAACCAGGAAATACAGTGTTGAAAAAACACTTCAAAACTGGACGAATGAAAATTGCTATTAGTAAAAGTTATAAAAAATATTTCTCCTCAGAAATATGATCAGTGAGGGCTCAGACACTCCAGGGATCATAGGAATGTCTTGCACTGACACAGGCTGATGGAAAACAACCTCTTGTCTTGAACAGAGAGGACTACAAGGAAACCTGATCCCAAAATCACCCAAGGCACCTACAATGTCTGCCCAAAAATATGTTTTATGAACGAACAGTGACAAACAAACCAGAGGACACAAGTGAACACTAAGACAAAGGGCATTTTAAACTCAGAAGAGGAGGAACTGCTTTACACAAAGGATTGTAGGAGTCGGGAACAGCCAACCCACGCACGTTAAGCTGATACTCTGGATTCTTCCAAGAAATGGCTGGAAGAAATCCTTGGATCAATTAACCATTAGTTACCCAACAACCCAGATAGGCCAAACAGTCCCCTCTCATTTAAAAACCCCATGCTCTTATGCTTTAGAGAGTTCACAGCGTACGGAGTCTCGATTTTAAACTGAACAGAAACTATGGGAAGAAACCTGACTGGCTGTTTCTCCTCTTGCTTGAAAGGAATAATTCATAAAGTCAAAAGGTCCACTTCCAGGACTCAGATGCTAATTAAAACACATGATCGTACAGGTTTAAACAATATAAATAATGCATAAACAACACAAAAATGCCCCGCAATTAAGAACTAGTGAACCAAATGAACACGCTGCACTAAGGTAACCTTGGTGTCACATGTATGCAGTATGGGGACCATCTCCCTTCTCACCTGGAAAAGCAAAACTCCAACTGTTTCTTCAGGGATTCCCGTAGGTTCTCTGGAGAGATTGGCTGCTCCTCAGGTAGCTCGCCCTCACCTATAAGGAAAAAAAAACAAGCTTTACAGACCTGAACTCCTGTCTGGCTGTTCCCAACCAGGACCTGTTACTTGCACAACACCGGGACCGTAAGCCTATACTTCCCTGTTTCGCTTCTATACAATAAAATGGGCTGTACAGAGTGACAGATTGACAATCGTGGTAGAAAGGTATAGCAGAAGAACAGAGCAGTAGCTAAAGTATTGTCAAAATGCCAAAACAGTAAAAAAAACAAAACAATGAACCAAATGAACCAAATAAGACAGACTAGCGTTTCAATACAATAAGCTCACTTGCCACATAAAAACTTATTAGCTTATCGATACATGCTCATTGGCTAGGTTGGGTTAGGCCAACCAATCGGCTTTGACCACATTTGCTGCAACAGGTCTTATCAGCCAATCACAAATAATCTCTTGTGGTACAATGAGTCTAATCAAGCCGGTGGGTAGCAAGGTCATCAGCTGCAACTAGTCAGAACAATCTGAGGCTATGGGCAGCGACAAGGCACAATCCCTGGTTCAGGGGTCAGTGTGGGTGCGGCACTGACCGATGCTTCCCGTGGGCGCCTCGTAGAGGGGGAAACCAAGTTCGGGGGGGTCCATGCCGTTGACACTCTGCTCCAGGGGGACACCGGGGCTGCTGCTGCTTGGCGGGCTGGGGAACATCACGCTGTATGGTTTACAGCCATCAGGGGGCACAACAGAGTACCCTGTGGAGGAGAGCACGCCAGCCGTGAGCAGGCAGTCAAGGGATTGACTGGAGGACGAGGAAGGTAGGGGGGCAAGGGAGCCAGGAAAGGAATGACAAAACATGGGAAAGACTAGGGAAGCGCGAGACAAGAGGGAGAGTGTGCCTGCACCAAGCCAGCAAGAGTGTGTGAGGAAGGGGGACGAGTGGGCTCACCCTCAGTGATGTCGGCGGGCGAAGGCGTGCCCTGCGGCCACGGTGACCCCTCGCTGCCGTTGGGGGCGGCCAGCGACCCCTCGCTGCCTCCAGCTGGGATCTCCTGCCACACCTTGGCGTTGGGGTTCAGGCCTGCACCTTTCGAGGTGACCTGGGCAGGGGAACACACCAGCAATCATCTCACTGGGAGCAGTTCAGAACAACAGCAAAATCATAAAAACCTGAAATCTCCAATCGGTAGGTCCGACTCCTCTTAATGCTCTTCCTTATTTTAGTCATAAGATCACAGAATTCTGGGATGGAAATGAGACTCGGACTCTGCCAGGCCCTGGCTATGTTACACCCACCTACCATCTTCTAACTACTGCCATGGAGGAGCCAGAGCCTATCCCAGCAAGCAACGGGCAGAAGGCAGGGTCCACCCTGGACAGGCTCACACACAGACACACACTCACACAGCAGGCCCAATTTTCCCCAAATTCAGTGAACATACCAGCATGTCTCTGGAGTGCCTGAGGAAACTGGAGCACCCAGAGGAAACCCCCATGAAGAAGGAGAAACTGACAGATCGCCCCCAGGAATTGAACCCAGGGCCCCAGAGCTCTGAGACAGCAATGCTAACCAATGCGCCATCTTACCACCCGGAAAATGTTACATGTCCTTATTCTGAATCCATCCATAAAGAGAGAAGTTTAAACTTAAATTAACATAGCAAATTTCCTGCTTTGGCTGGGTAATCCGAATACACACCTGCAGGTCACAAAACATGAACCAGGTCAAGCTGCAAAACAATCCAGGACTCTGCAGGAATCAGCATTCATTTTTTTCCTATTTATCCCAGTGTTGAATTTAGGTAATTAAAGAGAATGTTCCCTTTAAAACCTCAATGCTCTCTCTCAAACACTGACAACAAACAGGGCTTGTCACAGCCTTTAAATACCCAGCTAGCCTGCCTCCCTATCCGTACGCAGACAAATGGGACTGCGGGTTTAAAATAGGCCTGGTTTGCGCCAGGGCTAATCTGATTACACACACACACACACACGTCTCTCTCTCACACGTACCAACGCACACAAACACAGGAGTGTTTATCAATACACAGCTCAGCCCGAGCGCCTTCATGTGGGGTTCTGCCCCGCCCCCCTCCATTGACAAAGAAAAACAACAGGCTTAGCAACGGACGCAGAAGAACAGAGTCCTGGCGCTTCGGAAGAGATAAGAGCCCCGTGACAAAATGACTTTCACAACTGCTCTTGGACTGCGCGCAAGCACAGGTCGACATTCTGCTGAGGGAAGTGCGTTTTATCCGAGGACAGGAGGTGCTGCTGTGCGCAAAGGGAAGTGGGAGTGTGGAACAAGCCTCTAGCTCCTGGCTTCTTTTAAAATCTGGATAAAAGCCTCAAAATCACACATATAAACAACTATACAAAGCTAAAATGAGCAGAAAATTAAAAAACTTACCAACAAGAGGAAACATCTTTACTCTAATTCCGCGCTGACTCAAATAAGTTACCAGTTAACTGGTGCCTTGGAGAGCAGACTATCTCATTTTACCTTACGCAACACAAATGCAAATAACACTCAGGAAACAGTGACAAAACCTGTTATCCACCTACAAGCACGCCAGTCATTGAAATAGCTCACTCTGCCTGTTCGCAAACATATCACAACGCCATACATCACATGAAGGGGCAATCGGAAACGGGCACACCACTGCCCACAGCGCAGTTCAGTCAGGAAAACTGCACGCTGGCATCCCCACGGAACCGCAGCGGCGACGTCATCGCCACGGAGCGGGGCTTCCCTGGGGGGGGGTTGGGGCAGCAATTAGTCAAGACCAGGCGACCCGGCCGTGAGTTTAAAGAGTCATTTGTCCCCATTGAAGCAAAGACCTCTCACTGCACTGTGCATTAGGCTACAGGAACTGCGGAGACGAGAACCGCTAAGATCCGGTCTGATCAAAGGGTTAATTAACATGATGTACTGCATATGCGTACGTCTGCAACCAGGCACACCTCGATTACGGTATTGTGTTACCGATGTCCTAAAAAGGATCCAGTTCGAACAGAGATCCTAAAAAGGATCCGGCTAGAGAAGAGAAATTGCGACATGCTTTGGTTGCACCACGCGTAACGCTACCATTCGCCCCCTATCAAGGACCAAAAGGAACGAGAAGGCGGACTGGAGGCGATGCGCTCTGCCGGGACAGGACACTTCTCCTGAAGGGAGAACCGGGGAGCGGGCGGACTGGGGGCCACGGTGCCCGCACCGCATGACGTCACTCCAGCGACACGAAACTTCCCCACTGGAGACCCGGCCGGCGCGGCGCGGCAGCGTGCTGGCAGGGCTCGGCGACGCGACGAGCGAACGGGATCGGATTATTTCAGTTTTAATCAACAGAAATGTTTTTTTTTTAAAACCAAACACACAGGCGTCTGCAATTTTTCTTTCAGCAGGTATTAAGGGAGAAAAGACCGCGGCCTGTGCAGAGGTATCAATATTGGTCACACGGCGCTCTGAACTGCCTGTCCCCTCCATTCAGCCGGAGTCCTTTCCACGCACTTCAAACTCTCACGTGAAACAGAGCCTTACCTCCACGAACAACAGCATTCTCGTCGGCGCCACGAAGTCGTCTTTCAGAATACCAACCCACCTTTCGCGATTCAAAATGTAATCTTCTGATCAGTTCAAACGATATTCCCCCCAGCCCGCAACACGAGGCGCGCCACTTAAGAGCAAGCTGGAAAAATAATGGTTCCACCAGCCTTCACAAACTCCCCTTCCCTCCCTCTCTCTACCACACTTGATATCCATCGCTCACTCTCACACAACCCCCGTAAAGTCCAAAATCACATCTCGGCCTCGCCATTGGCGGAAAGAGCAGTCAATCAAAGGTCCACTGCCGGTCAATGACCAGCCCCTTCCGCTCGAGATGCCGCCGTTTCTAATTCCGGTTTCCTCCCCCACCCCCTTCCGCAAGAGCAGCATGGCTGACAGCGGCATGAGCACATGGGCTGGTTCGAACACAGCTGCCGCACGGCGTGCACACGCATTACCTTCTCCGAAAACAGGGGTTCCGCTTAAAACGTGAAACCTCAGGACGAGAGGTCTCTTGCCCCGCGATCCCTAGTTATCACGTACAAACGTGTTTTAATCTGATACAAACGACCTGAATTGAGGTACGCAGCAGATTCCCGGACGAAGGTCAAATCGTGTTAGCAGTAACTCACTCAAGCTATTTTAGATTAGGTGTAGACTTCAAGTTTAAGTTACGAAAAGGGGGGAAACATAACATTAGAAATGGATCAAAGCACTCAACGGAAGCGTTTTATGTCCGAGTCAACACTGATAAATTTCACTATGTAAGCAGTATGGAAGTACTGTAAAAACACCGTCTTCCACCGCGTCGATCGCCATGACGTCAGGGCACACCGCATCCACACGTACGCCGGCCAACAGAGTTTAAACTTCCGTGCTACAGACTCGTGCAATTACAATCAATCAGAAGCCGTCTGCTTTTCACAGATCTTTCGCCCACAGCACACACAATAACACAGTCGGAGCCCTCTCTCGACGAGTAACGTCGGATTACGCCGTACAAAAGAAGGCATTGTCCCGTGCTCAGCAATGGCTTCTCCATTATGTGCTCTTCAGAAAACAGGTTCACTGTGGTCGGATTGTGTCACTTTTATCGACGGCGGATCAAACGAAGAGGTATTTAAAGGAGTCATAGTTTACTTCAGGACCTTCATTTGCTTTGCAGACATGCAGAAGAGGTATTTGCAAGAACTAGCTGAAGGGCACTACAGCTGTGAACTGCAGTCTTATCAGAGGGAGAGCCAGTCACCCCTCTCTGATGCTACGAGTGTTGCCTGTAAGGTGAAAGCGTGTTTCTCTCGTCAGGTTTGTTGAAACATTTTCTTCTTGAGAAGAGCAGGATGAGAAAGTGAAAGTGTGCATATTAACACATACGGACCCACTAGATTCTTTCCACAATGCCATAATTAGAGTTAACAAGAAAGACAGGATTCAATTACATTCTGCTTTAACTCTTAGAAACATGGGGAAATATCACAGTCGTCACCCATACTGGCAGGTCTTTTCTCTCATATTCTAAGAGGAACACCCTAATTGCATGTAAAATTAACTGAATCCCCCTGTCACAATATGACTGTTCTGCCGGACTGTGACTGTAGCCCCTTAGCATAACTGGAGTGTAACAGTTCATATACTACAAAACTAATCAGACCGAAGCATGACCTCTGGACCCTATCATAAGATTGTACCGGAACTCTATTCTACAGATCTGTTTTCTGGCTACTGGTTTTGCCAGAATAGATCAAACCACTATTCCAACAGGAACCCGAATTCCCCCAGCATTCCCAGTCTGCAGGAACCCAAATACCCCCCCGCATTCCCAGTCTGCAGCTGTGCAGTGTAATGGAATACTGAGTGCACAGAGCTCCGCCACTAATCCAGTCTGACCAGTCACCCTACCTGATAAGGACAAGAAGCAGTCGATACAAATATTAAGACTGCAGAGCCACTGCAAATTATACTGCAGCAGCAGAAAAGCTGACCTTTAAATAGAAGCCAGAGTCTCTTGAGTGGCTCATCTGAACACAGGTCAAGAGCTGTGATTGCGGGTTTGAATCTGGGTCATGTCACTAGACCACCGCAACTTAGATTCTCCAAGTGGCAACACATTTGGCTAAGTGCAGCCAAGTGCAGGGTATGCAGACGGCCAGTGCTCTTGGTTCTTAGTGCCCGTTGGGTGCTTTTGGGCACACTGTGCTGAAGGCCACACCTTCCCTTCAATCTGAACTGAACCCCCGGTAGGGGACTGTGCAGTCTGTGAAGAACAAGCCTCCTCTCCAATCAGGACTGAACCCCCTGTAGGGGGCAGTGCTATATTGGAGGACAAGTGGCTCGAAGGTCTGAGAGTCTGACAAGACTCCCCGGTGTTACCAGTGGGATGTCACACCATGTGCATGCCTGTACTGCTCGTTCAGCACCGTAGTGGGCATGCCACAATCTTGGAGAGAACATAAGCCATACTGCAACTTGCCCATTGACCTCGTGAGCTTGTCTGGTAGCTTACAGACAGCAGGGGTCCTATCTATCCCTTGACACAAGGGGTTGCAGCTGGCT